TGAAAGATAAATCACTGTTTTAACACAATATTAAGATTAGATTTGATCAGCATGAAAGACAAATGAATATAAAACATACCACAATTACCAGCTTACAGAGTATACATTTCACAACTCAAATGTCATGCAGGAAATTTTATGGTGGTTATGATGAACTTCTTGATGAATACAATAAATCTGCTTCTGACAATTTAGTTATCTATTTCCTCAGGAATGAAGTGATCTGGTTGTATCTTATGATTTTGACCATTGTAGTAGTGGTGGGTGTCCCACATGAAGCAGGTATATTGCGTACTCTTTTCGAAACACCTGCCTGATGGTACTCCTTTGGAGGTGTCCACTACTAAAATACTTTTACTTCCAATTTGCCACTCTTTGTACGAATTTTTTTTTATTATTTATAAAACTCTACTTGTCAGAATCTCATCTTGTACTGCTGAAACATATTTCAGGCATTATATCCTTATCAGGGCAAAAGATATAGAAATGGTAGTAAACTTCCCTCTATGAATACATTGTGGTTGTTTATAAATGAGATAAAATTTCTGAATGAGAGAGGAAAGGAAGAAAGAAAGGACACTATTTTACAAAGATAACAATCTATAGGCTCAATCTACCAGCTTGTTTTTGGCCTTGGTATTGATCATTCCTATTCTGGGTTTACTGGAAAAATGATGGACAAAAAACGGAATATTTATTGATTGTTCTGTTCTACCTGATGCTTGCTCTATCCATGCATATGTTTGAACATCAATCTAATGTTCTCTATGTTTCCCTTCAACTTTCTTTCCCCCCTGAAGAAGGTACTGATTGTGTGTTATTATAGCAGTTGACAGAGCAATTACCTACAATTATCTAGTAACGCCAATATTACTTGACATTTGAGAAGAAGACAGTGTATCCTTATAACTTGTTATTAGTTTTCTTGTTACATAGAATTAGTCTGCTACTTCATCGTAAATTAAATTCAAATAGTTAATATTAGCTGTATGGACCATCTCAATGTCAAGCTAATGTTTGAAATATTGCTACATTTTCATCACTTTGATGTTTGGCTTTTACGAGGAATATCTCTGATGAAATTATTTTAATGAATTGCAAATCTGTAGAGTAAGATCATCTTTATGTGGTTGTAAAGAGGTTTTCTAGCTATTTAATGTTTATGGCTTCTATTTGCATCATTCCAATTTACAGTTAGATTAAAAAAAAAACAAGTACTAATGATCCAAACAGCAAAAGAAACATGAAATCATTTTTCAGTCAGATGTATGTAGTTTTTGAAGTTGTAAAAACAATTAAGAGTTTATGATGTTACTATCACAAAAGCTGCTAATATTACCTTAGGATCTCTGTGATATCTACATCATAAAACACTTCTTGGGATTGCAGTATCCACATAGGTCTTACTGAAAATTACAATGGTGCAAGTCCAAAGCTCTTCTACTGAACTGAAGACTAAGATCTGCCATGAGTTGAGGCTTTAACCAAAGATTAAAGGCTAAATGATTTGCACTCAACTGTTGGACCCATTGACTCTACTAATGGTACTATTAGCTGACCCCCCTGTCAAAGGTCAGGAACAGAGTGAACTTCCCTTACAATGTGTTGATTTGTACTTAACTTCCTCCTTCTAATGGTGTTATCAATCAAGTGAAGCTGGTAGACATTTCTGGACTTTTTCTGAGATAATTTGAAAAATGTTGATCCTCCAGACAGATCAATGATTTATCGCTGAATTAAAGTTAAACAATATTTAAGGATTGAATGGAATTGTTTTTGTGTTTATTGGTTGATATTATATTAAACAGAAATTTCACATGTTAAATCGAATGAATGGCGAATGTTGTGGTGTATTCATACGCTGCATTCAAAGTTGTCATTGGAGATCACTGAAGATCTATTTTACTAAAGTAACTTGTAGGTAAATGAATACACATTATTCACAAAGGTTCACTGTAGTTCAATACACATTATTCACAAAGGTTCACTGTAGTTCAATACACATTATTCACAAAGGTTCACTGTAGTTCAATACACATTATTCACAAAGGTTCACTGTAGTTCAATACACATTATTCACAAAGGTTCACTGTAGCGCTTGATATTTAAAGTTAAACAATATCATTAGATGGCTATATTCTGTATATAATGTCATCTCATGGTCTAACAGTTCTCAATGATTCTTGTTTTAATACCACAATATTTTAATGCAGCCATTTTAAACTAATCAGTTTCAGGAAATGAATGATTTAACAGTCAATGAAGGAACTGTAAAAACGTCTAAATAAGCAAATAAAGACAATTTTAGCACATCCCACGCATAGTGAATGGCTAAAAATAACCAGAAAATACAAGTAGATACATCGCTAATATTAGAAATCAAAAGTAATTTCCAAACTAGGGTGTACTTAAAGCGAGTCCTGCTTTTCCTAACATGGCAAACAATTTTTGTTAAAGTGTGTAGTTCTAATATCTTGGTATAGAGTTCCTGAAGGGAAATTCTATATCTGTACTATTAATATCCATCTGTATCCAACTGATATTTTATAACAAAGATGACCTTCAGTGGGAGGTAATTATCCATGTTACATTGCTTTAAGCTATTCTCCATATGATGACCAGTTTATTACTGAGCATGTTTTTATTCTTTCATCTGTCAATCACTCAACTGTGTTAAATCTCTTCCTCTAGCCAATCAACTCTATCAATCAAATCATAAACATTCAATAAAATCAATTCTCAGGACAATTACTGAAGGGAATGGGTCGTTTTAATATTGATGCTGATATCTGAAATTTAATGTAGGAAATTTCGTATCCAGTTGACTTTGTACCTTTAAAGAGTTTGTATAAATAAAACAATTAAATTTGTGATCTTTTTATAGTAAGAAAAATTGCTTACAACCTAACTCATGTGTACAGGTTATTTTTGTATCATCAGTTAAACATGATCCATGGTCCACAAGACCCTAAATTACACAGATCAAAGACAGGTTAAAAAAAAAACTGAGATCTCATAGAAATTCATATTAAATGAAACAGTAGTAAATATTTCACTGGGTTATATCAATTACAATTGATCAAATTTATAGTTGTAACCAAATAATGAAATTTCAGACTATTTTAATGATTTAAGTGTTATGGGTCATTGGAATTCGCTTCTACTGCCGATATATAAAATTTATTTGTATCTGTCTCAGTGTTATTTTATTAGCAATTGGTCCTACTAACATTTTCACATACCAGTGATCAATATCTATTGCTTTGAAGCCTCAGCCAGTGTTTTCTTTAAGGGGCATTCTGCTTTTTTGTAAAAAGTTTTCATTATCAAAAACCTTGTAAATTATAGCTGAAAATATTTCTAAAGTATGAATTTGTTTTTAAAAGGTCCATTGAAAACAGAGAGTAATAATTGTTAATTAAGCAGTTTGATCTAGTTTTGACTCAATATTATTAATTGAAACCTTTAGAATTTGTAGGAGACATATTTTTCTACAATTAAGCGTCTGATTTACTCAGATTCGTACAGTAGCTTCCAAAAAATATACCGATCTTAAAAACCTTAAGTAGTGTTTATAAATATTTTTGATGTTTTTAAACTTTCAGATAAGTTAAAGGGTACGTTTCTCTAGATTTTGGTGTATATTTTTCACAAATTAGAGCAAAACAATTTTTCGACCTACAAAATAGCAGAATGTCCCTTTAATATTTTATTCATAAAGTCTATATCTATTTATTGGTTGGTGAATGAACAGTTATGAAGCGTTTTACAACACTATTAATGTTATGACTTTCAATCTCATTAACAATGACAGGAAGACAAAATAATTCATCATTTCCATGTATAAACAGTCTAGTTTTACTACGTAGGTGTAGGTGAATATCTGTTGCTCTGTGAACCCAGCAAGTGCTTTTGTGCAGCATTATCAACTGTCATTAAGGTGTTGTTGGTAAGATAGGGCATGTACATATATGTTCGTACAATAAATATCACATGGAGTCTGTTTTTGTCAACTATGTCTAACTTTCAGAGTTCCTTATTTGGCATAAGTAAACTTATGGAGTGAAAGTCATGAAAGGAAACAAATATCTAAAAAAATGCCTTGTTGCTAGTTTCAAAGTTCTGAAGTATCCCTTTAGGTATCGATGTTTTTTTTAAATATTCTAACAAGAATTTCTATTGATAAAAGCACAATAAATAATCATAAAATCTTCTTTATTGATTTCATTTAATAATTCATAAAGTGTTTGGAGAAAGAAAACAAATAAATAATAACAATAACAAGGAATAATTCAATAATATCACATTTTTTAATTTCAGATTTCAATTCTTTTTTTTCAAGAATTTTTGGTTTTGTTATTTAAGTACTTTAAGTTAGTGCAAATGAAATTATCAATCTCCCTAATACTCATTTGGTACTTGTATGTAGGAATAACTTCCAATAACTTAAACAAGTTGCCTTTCACTACATTTTAGAGTAAAATATAGAAATTGGCTGAAGTCACAAAATACACAATGTTAAAAGGATAAGGATTCCATTTGACAACTTAATAAAAGAAGGTCAAACTATGGAAAGTTAATCTGGATATATAAATCATTCAAAACTGTCCTTAAGTGAATGACATACGAACAGGCAGTTTCAGATAGAAAAAAATTACCACAAATAAGTTATAAGTCACAGAACAGATGCAAAAAACAATGGTTATAAGTAATAAAAATTATGGCATTTTAAAATATAAAACAAAGCATAATAATGAGATAATCTAGATAATCTTGATATTATTGGGTCATAGTAACTGGTGGCGTCTGTGGATGACCAAGAGAGGGAGCATGCCCCCAGCAAAAAATAGGCTGGCCTGGCTCCCTCCTCCAGGGGACTTTTCTGGCAAGATTTCCAAAATCCGTTCTGGCTACAAAAAATTTGCAGAAAATAATAATGACATTTTTTCGATTCCTTAGAAAAGTTTTACATCAAGCCTGAAAATTTGTTAATTATCAAATCAAGATGGGCTTTCACTTTTTTCGGTGTTAATATTTTGCCAATCTGTAGGTGACAGCCTGGCGTCTTGGCCAGTGTAAGTTGGCATAGTTAAATTATTCGCGTCTTTTTCTGCATGATTATTGTCCGACCCATCCGATTTATTCTCACTATAAATCAATGGTACGTCTATACTGGCTTTATGGCGTTTAAAACTACTTCCTCGTAACGTTTGAAACAGTCCGTTCATTTCCATGGCATTCACATGGTTACTAACCACACTCCACTTCCTGTGACCTTCTGAAGCACTTAATGATCGAGTCATTTTCTTCAGTTCATCTTTGTTAAAGAAACAGGCACAAAATAATCTCCAAAATTCTTTACGAAATTTTTTACCGAAAAAATAATATGGCAAAATATTAATTGCAGAGTTTAAAATGACAAGAAAGTTTGAAACTTCACTAAAAGTGTGATAATTTCGACTGAGTTTTCCTAAAGTTGAAAAAGCCCACATCATACGAGCTACCAATGCTGGAACTTGACAAATAAGAAAGGTAATGACTACACCGATTAACATTGTGGTTGTATCATTACGCTTCTTTTCTCGAACGTTAATTTCCTTGCCTTTCTTCCGTGATAAATGAACAGCTCGGATTAGAAAGGCATTGAGAATAGCTAACAATAGAAATGGTAGTCCACATACACAGATTAAATACATCCATGAATGAACAATTTCTTTATAATATTTATCATTTCCTGTTTTAGTTAATTGTATTAAATACATTGTTTCTGTAGAATTTCCCACGGAAAAACTCAATATCTGAGTATAGTACTCGAAAAATCGTGGAATATTGAATATAATCCCTCCTAAATATATACACATGACAACACGTTTAGCCCGTCCTCGGTTGCACATTGATTCTGCTTTAAAGGGGTGACAAATCATAATATAACGATCAATGGTGAACGCCAGAGTCAGCCATATTGAAGTGACTTGAAATGTAATTGTGATTGGATGTACCCATGGAAACAAAAAAGCGTAATAAGTTTGATACAGGGGAGATAATCCATCAGATGGCACTTTAGTATCTTCTAATAATAGTAACATAGTGAAAACGAGCACTAACATATCACAAAAGGCCAACGCTGCCAAGTAAACATAAGTTGATGAACGCATGATGCGTCGCGTTAACACTATAATGGATAGTATATTTCCGATATTTCCAAAACAACATATTATCATGCCACCAATACCCATTAGATAATATTTCAATAAATTCGTATCGTCATGCTGGGATGGGACGTCCAGTTCCGAGTCATAGCCACTTTTATTCCAGCTCATTTTGATCTGGTATGAAATTTCCAATTTAGCAGTCTGTGTGTCACATTTGTTATAATCTATTACAACTTCCCCACATACTAATCACTGTGTTACTCTGATCAAAGAATCTGCAACTTGTGATGAATACACTCCTGCGCAATAAGCATCAAATTTTTCCAAATTCTTTCTGCATCTCTTACTTTATCTTAAACTTTTGTTAAGCGAGTAACTGATATTTATTTGTTCAGAAGAACAATATAAAGGAATTTGTCTTGATTTAAATCTAATCCATTAAGATTCCACTTCTCTTGACATTTCAATTCTTTATGGTAATTCTGATGTTCTGTGAAGCAAAATTCCTTAGTTTACTTATAAAATTCAACTTTACTCATCAAGTAACAATGAGCACTAATATAATTTTTACTGAAAGTATTCCAGTGCTGCATGTGAAATCTTTATGTCCACATATAGAAAAGATATATCACTCCAACTTCTATTTTCAGAATTCTAAAATGACAACCTCTCCTTTTAAATTCTTCTTAAACCGTATAACTCTGATCGGCTTAGAAGAACAAGAGACAAATTAAAATCAATTTATTTTCTTGCTTCCTCATTAATGCTTGTTTGTGAGATGTAAATCTATGGCTTCATTAGAGATCTGACAGAAGTTTATTGACTGTGATATCTTTGATACTGTTTATTGGACTTTAATACTTCTATCTTTCACTGTATCTATCTGAAATTAAAAAGAAAACCACAATAGTAATGGGAATAAGGAGAAATAAAAAATAATCCTTTAAAACTCAAATCCTTCTCTCAAAAATGAGAAGCTAGACCAGGGGTGGATCGGCTGCCCAATGCCCTATTAAAGCCAATCAGGTGGCCTGGGGTAAATTTCTAGCATATTCACTTTAAAATAAGACCTATCATGGACTATAGAAGGGCATGGCCCAATGGCTCTCTCCTTAACAACACTACTGTACTACTCCTTCCTTTAATTAAATACAAGGGATTTGTTATCAGTTTTCATTTCATTTAAAACTAGTCAAAATCAGACACAACAGTTGAAGTTTAAGGGTTTCATAATAAAATAATAACTTGAACAATTAAATCATGTCCACAAACTAGGTCTCTGTTAGTTAATAATTAATTATCAATAATTTCTATTACAACTTGTTTAGATCTATATTTCTATATTGATGAACCAATTTAAAATAACATTAAGGAAACAAAACTAAAATTCGCACAAAAACATTTAAGGCATAATCCTCATTAAGTGAAAAAACCAAAAAACTCAAAATCATTATATTTCTAGGCAATCTTAATTACAATTCAGAAGACGATGAAAAAAATAAACACAGAGATATTTTGGTAGCGCCATTATTTTGATAAAATGTACAATATAATGAAGAAACCCTCCAAACCCTGAAGAATCTGAATAAGAAATCAATAAAGTTTCCCATCATTTAAATTCTAATGAAATAAATGAACTCAGACAATACAATTAAAGAGTTTATATTCATCAGCAGTTTTACTTACAACTTTTAAACTTCATTAGACACCTTGGTATATACTTGACATTTTAGCATAACCACTTCTTACAGGGATAATCCTTAGGGCAATATGGTTAGAGACTAAAAGGATTCAAAAGGTTTTTTTGGCATATATATCCACATGGGGAAAATAATAGCTTATATACACACAATCCTTATATCCCTTCTGAAGCATATGGTACTGGCCCTTATCAAACTATTATTTCAGATGGAGCTTCAATCCCAGTAATGATTGAAATATAACTTATTCACTTCATATCATTAACATCCCTATCATTATAAACTTTGCTTGCTTTAGTTATCTAATTGTACAGAAACCTGCATCTAGCCTTGGTCAAGGTTTCAAAAAATCTTCAGTCTGCTAATTCTGACATTTTAATAAAGCTTACTTCCAGTAATTTGTACCGGTGTACAAAATTGTCGTGGACATATGGGGGACAGACAAGCAGAAAATACTCTCTTTGATCCCTACTTTAAGAGATAGTATATTTGAGCATTTCAATTGAATCCAGTTATCCCATTGTCAGGGATGACATAAAAACTCATATAGTGAAATTGGATAAAGATTCTCAGAGCATTGTTTCCATGGAAACTAATTATCTATTAAGAAATTTAAGATATTGATTAAGGTAACAATATACACTGGCTGTAAAATGACACACTCTACACTACTCTACTCTGAATACACTCTAAGAGCTCCAGCAGTTGGAAGAAACCAAAATATTAAAGAAATCAGATTATTAAAATAAAAAGTGACTTTAAATTCCTTTATTTGAAATAATGATTCCTAAAATTCAGAATGGTAATACCAATATTTCTAGTGGCACTTTATCGATCTAACCAAAACATTGACAAAACTCACTCACTTCCAAATAAACTGCAATGAGTCAGGTGCCAATGTCAATATTTCCAAATATTCCCAAAAATCAAAGCCTTGACAAAGTAATTCAAATGATTGATCATTTTTGTTAGTTATTTGGATTCATTGGGTCAGGAGACTGGAAAAATCTCACTATTTCTAAACCTAAAAATCTTGGTAGAGAAAACAATACATTTGTATAACAAATTAACAATATCTGCCATAATAGCCTCTCCAATGCCCAGTTGAGAAATCTAAACACACTCCCTGCTAGCAAACACCCACCGAAAAGACTTCCCACATAGAAGGACAGCTTTAAGATAAAGAAGAAATAATTTATCAGAGTATTTGATTGTTATAAAGACTGACGATATAAAAATCTTCAGGATGTCATCAGAATCAATTCTCTGGTGATCAACTAAATACAAGATGTGTGTCTACTGTATAATCTAGCCAACTGACAAGCTAACAACCAGGAATCCCTAGTGACCACTATTTAACTAGCTCTTCACTAATCTTCTGATTTGTATTTCCAGTAAACTCTTGACATTAGATGATAAATAATTAGTTGGTCCGAGTGTTAAATTGATTTCACAAAATCTGAGAGTATTTGATAGCCATATTGAAACAAAAATACAGAGAAATGTACAACTTGAAATTAAATGTCTGCTTTAAGCATTTGCAACAAAATATGAAGAAAGTATGTAAAGATATCAACTATGGTAAAATCTTAATTACACGAAAGGCAAAAAAATAAGATTGAATCATACAAATCACTGGAAAATCTAAAACTTGCAAAACTTAATGTTGCTTTCAGCAATTTAAACAAAGTGTTAATGATACTACATCTTAGAATTAATATAAAATTTAAGAATTTTAAACTTGGCGAATAAGAGCCAGTAGATATACCTGGTGTCATAAATAACATAACAGGATCCTTATATAATCTGATAAATCTAAAATACTTAAGTAATTATCCTTAAATATACAATTTGCTATTGAAAAAGGCTTAATATTATGATTAGTAGTATCACTTTAAAAGAGCACAATGTACAGAAATCAACTGTCATAAAATCTAGAATTCATAAATATAAAACTTGCAAAATAAATTGGATAGAGCCATATCTAAACAAAAACACGAAGAGATCTACAACTTGAAATTTCAACAAAATATCAACTGATTTAAATTGATTTTACACAATCTGAGAGTCTTGTATTGAAGAAAGCCATATTCAAATAAAAACACTGGGAAATATACAAATTGAAATGGCCTGTTCCAGCAATTTTAACAAAATATGAAAAAGGTATGTAATGATATCAACTGTGGTAACATTTTGAACACTAATTAAAAGAAAATGGGTTGGGAAAAAAGGTTGAATAATTCAAAACTCTGGGATATCTTCAACTTGAAATTAATTCTCAGAAATTTAACGAAGTGGAAGAAAGAAAAAATGTACAAAGATCAACTGTAATAAAATTTTGATTACACGAATAAAAAAACTGCACCGAGCAGTTAAAAATAATTTTTTTCTCTTCAATTGTGTCTACAGGAGTAATAAATGGTGCACATCAAATCAAATTCCAATTTATATTCAATACCTATTCAGAACTTTGACATTTCATTTCCATGATTGGTTTTTCAGTTGACAAATCTGAAATATTTTCAAATGATGTTCAATTAGCGCTACTACTAGCTACTGGAAAGATCTCTCAATCGCAGCCTTGGATGATAAATCTCAATATAATGCATGGTACCATGCTGCTAAATTCATTCCAGGCATCTGAGATTCATATGGTTGAAAAAGTTTTCAATATCATAATGTTTCATTTCATTGATCTTTATATGGACAATTATTTCATGTTTTTTTTTCCTACAGAATTTATTGATACTACTGGTATTATATAAATACTGAATTTTCCATTGTCTTTTAAAATTGATAGAATTCAGAGCAATTAGTTTACCACCTTTTACATGAATTCTATAAATTGATCAATTATTATCAACAAAATATCATTAAGTTGATGTGTTTTAAAATTCCAGACTAATCAATTGTTCAATTTATTTCAATAAAAAAGCAATAGGATTTAAATTGCTGAAAAAATATAAAATATTTTCTAATGACATTTTGAAAACATTTTTTTTAGATCATCTGTCATAATATAATAAATATGTTCCAACAGAATCCTAAATATATTCTTAAAGTATTATTTTCTGTAATCACACAACTCAAAATATTGTAGGGCCTTGGCATTGAGAAATCACTGTGGATAAGATTGAACTCAATGGCATTATTTTATCATCTTTTTTAAATTTCAAATTATTCCAATAATTAACAAATGTAGGGGTCACACACATGAAAACATGTTGATTTTACCATGAACAAAATAAAAAGTGATAAATATCAAAGATATTTTCATCCTAATAATTGTTTCCTGAAATTGATAAAATTTGATTACTGTTTCAAGTTCAGGTAATTTAAATTTTTTTTAAACCATGTGTAAATGAAATTCACAGTAATTAGTTCTGAAATAAAGAAAACTTACTGATATCATGTTTTTGAAATGTCAATTAGGAAAATAAACTGAAGGTTAATGAAGTTTATATTATA